CAGGATTTGAACGACCCAGGGTTGGTTAATGACGTCATTGCAACCTCTCCACCAATGAAAGACTTGCATTTATAGTAAAATAGTGATTGATCAACCCTGGGTCGTTCAAATCCTGTATAATCGAAAACGCTATTAGTGTAATAGTTCACTGAACTGATTGCACTAGGTCTAGAGCCAGTGCAAGCAGTGCAAGAACAGCAGCCTAAGAAATAGGCGACCATAAATAGATAATTAAATTGTAAGTATGAAATTGTAAGTAAGAATTTTTGTAAATAAAAAACTTAACAACAAGACTTAACTTTTATTTTAATGTATAATGTTTAAAATATAATGTTTAAAATTTAAATATATAAATCTGTATCGTTAAATAATAATCTGTATCGTTAATGATCATCTTCGTCAGAAGATTTTATTAATTCCAATACTACTATTTTATTTATTATATTGTCACACATTATTTTTGCACTGCAGTGTTTTTTATTCTTGCACTTTTTCAGTCTGCACTCTCAATCCTTGCTTAAACTCCCTAGTTTTAGTTTAGTTCTAGTTCAATTCAGTGTAGGAATAAAAAACAAACCTCTGGCTAGTATATGCTCCCTCCTGTTTCTTTTTACTCAATGGGCTTTATGCGCTGCAGGTGGTGGGGATCTAGGGAATTCTAAGCGCTGTTCATGCGCGCATTGAGTGAAACGGAACGTTTTCTATGAGTGCGTTCGAAAATAAGTTTGGTTGGTGTTGGGAAAAAAGATAAAGTTGGCAGTATTGAAAATTACCAGTGCTGCGTTTCGTTTCTTCCACTGGGATCATTGGAATTATACGTTATACCAGGGATCACTGAGGTTTGTTGAGGTTATTAAGGACATAAAAAAAATTTGCTATTTGAGGTATTATGAAAGAGGTAAAGAAGAAGTAAAACATATTTTATAATAATATGCTTTATCTATATATATATAAATAAATATATATGCTATAGTTATTATATGTAATAATTAATGTAATCATAATTAAATACAGTAAAACAAATGTATTCTAACCTTTACTTCTTTTTCTCTTTTTTATAAATTATTGTTTCTTATATTTAAATGTAACATAATTGTGTAATATTTACTAGATCACTTCTCTTGTTACTTATTATACGTCTCTTAAACATATATTTAAAAAATGAAGAAATCTGTGCAATTAGTTAAGAAACACAACACTCGTCAATTGAAGTTGCTTGATGAAATAACCAATATAGAATATATAATAGAAGTTAATGAAGAAGATTTCAATCGCGCTTATAAAGGTATTATTTCAATATTAAACAGTTAACTATCCAGATAAGAAAGCATGCAAAAATAATTATATATTGTTATTTTTATATATAGATATTACATTTGCTAATGCTTTGCTACAAAAAGCAAAACATACCCTTTTAATTAACGAACGTAATTCGAGCACAATTGATAATCCCAGTTCTTCGAAAAAAAATATGAAAAATATAAATACTATCATACAACTTGATGATTTATTGTCAAATATTGAGACTAATCAAAATGAAACAGACAACAATGCTTCAGATATTGATAATGAAACAAACATGTTGAATATAGGTATATTTAAATTATTGCACAATTACAGAAAACTGTTTAATATTGAAATAATACCTTTATAAGCGCGATTGAAATCTTCTTCATTAACTTCTATTATATATTCTATATTGGTTATTTCATCAAGCAACTTCAATTGACGAGTGTTGTGTTTCTTAACTAATTGCACAGATTTCTTCATTTTTTAAATATATGTTTAAGAGACGTATAATAAGTAACAAGAGAAGTGATCTGTAAATATTACACAATTATGTTACATTTAAATATAAGAAACAATAATTTATAAAAAAGAGAAAAAGAAGTAAAGGTTAGAATACATTTGTTTTACTGTATTTAATTATGATTACATTAATTATTACATATAATAACTATAGCATATATATTTATTTTATATATATATAGATAAAGCATATTATTATAAAATATGTTTTACTTCTTCTTTACCTCTTTCATAATACCTCAAATAGCAAATTTTTTATGTCCTTAATAACCTCAACAAACCTCAGTGATCCCTGGTATAACGTATAATTCCAATGATCCCAGTGGAAGAAACGAAACGCAGCACTGGTAATTTTCAATACTGCCAACTTTATCTTTTTTCCCAACACCAACCAAACTTATTTTCGAACGCACTCTATGTAATTCGTGCGCATAATGTGCGAAACGGAACGCAACCTAAACCAATGCTTGATACAGTAGTTGCTTTAAATTGTTGGCAATACTGGCGAGAATTATTTTTTTCTACCACGCGCGCGCAAGAAGATAGAGTATAGTTATAAGATTACAATTAATATTTAACATTTATTATAAATCTGCTTGGACTGCGATAAAAAAATGAGTTTGTGGGTTGATAAATATCGTCCAACAACACTTGCGAAGTTAGATTATCATCTCGAACAAGCAGAGGACTTGAGAAACATGGTAATTATATTGACAATTGAGGTTAACTAACATTAAAAGCGTGCTTTTCTCAAAGCCAGCATCAAACTGCAAATTTTCATGCAACTTATTGCAGCAACTTAATTGTCACAATTTACTAGTTGCAATACTAGCAGCAATTATTTTTGTGATTATTATGTTGGTACAACACATTAAATATTGTTATCTTTTTAAGGTAGTTGTCTCGCGACAATATAACCTAAAATTTCTTACAATTTATATATAATTATATACTATAATTGCAATTGTAAATTTTTTTGAAATTGCAATTATATTTAGTACTTTTAGTAAAAAATACTAAAAACACTAAATATAATTGCAATTAATTATAATTGCAATATAATTGCAATAGTAAAAAATACTAAAAGTACTAAATATAATTGCAATTATCTCAGCTTTTAAACGGTAAATTTTTTTTCTTGCAGGATCACTTAAATATTACTTCAATAAAGATATAGTAAAAATTTGAATCCATTTATAAGAAATTCATTTTTATGTTGTATTGTTGCAAATTAAGCAAATACATAAGAACAAAAATATTACAATTGGATACAACTAGTTGCTGGAATTAGAATAGGATCTAAGCTCCCTATTCTATAATTTTTAACGATGTTATGTATCACTATACAGGTTTTTTTGTATCATGTAATTACTGCACAATGACACATAACAACATCATTAAGAATTACAGAACAGGCTCCTAAATCCTGTACAATCACTGCAATCAAATTGCTTTTAAAAATTACGTAGTATGATAATGAAAAAATTGCAGAAATTTATCGCGATAATTGAATTACTGTAACAAATTGCATAGTCAATACTTAAAAAATACAATATTAAATTTTGTCTTAAAATAAAATAATATGATTTGTTTTTGAAAATGTGTATTTCATACGTCATGTTACATTGATTGAAAATGAGTGTAAATATAATTATAATGATAAAAAAAGTAAAAAAATCATGATTAGATTTTAATTATACATAGTATCTCGTAAATTTTAATTATAAATATTAACTATAGATATGAAAAAAGTAGTAGGAAAAAAGTAGTTTGTAACACTACATTAAAAGAATTAAGAAAAACTTACATGTTAAAAGTTGTCTTTAATGTAAAATTTAACCTATATATACATATATATATATATATTTAAAAAGTTCATAGAAATATCTGCAGAATTATATTAATTTGACTGGAATAAGCAATGTCTCAATTATTTTTGTTTAAAATATAGGTACAAAAACGAGACTTTCCTCATTTATTAGTGCACGGACCACCTGGTGCAGGAAAGAAAACACGAATATTGTGTATTTTGAAAGAACTTTATGGAAGTGCAGCTGAAAGAGTAAAAGTAGAAACTGTGCAGTTTGAGGTTTGGTATATTTTATTTTTATTCAGTTAAAATGCGCTGATTAGATTTTTTGTTCATTAATTATAACATATTTAACATAAAATTATATCAATAATGATTCATATTCTATAACAAAATAAAAATAAAATATTCCAACCTGTATAAATGATTATCCAGACAGCATCTAAAAAGAAATTAGAAATATTAACAATGAGCAGTAATTACCACACAGAAGTAAATCCCAGTGACGCAGGATTACATGACAGAATTGTTATTATGGAATTGATAAAAGCAACTGCACAAACACATCACATAGATATAGGTCAAAAGGAGTTTAAAGGTATAATAAAGATATGGTAAACATTTTTTAAACATCTATTTGAATATTTTTTAATTTATTATTACAAATTTAAGCTATTATTACAAATAATTGATGTAGTAAAAAGAATAATTATTATATAATAAAATTATTATACAAATTATTATATAAAAATTACAACACTGTTATATAAATAGTGGTATTGTTGTCTAATGTGGATCAACTTACAAGAGACGCACAGCATGCACTTCGTAGAACAATGGAAAAATATATTAGTACGTGCAGATTGATTCTTTGTGCAAATTCAACATCACGAGTATTGCCAGCAATTCAATCACGATGTGTGCGAATCAGAGTTCCTGCGCCAACAGTCTTTGAAATCAAAACTATTTTACATTTAATTTGTAAACGTGAAGGATTAAACATACCTGATGAATTAATTAATCGAGTAATTGAAGCTAGTAATAGAAATCTTAGACGGGCAATATTAATGCTCGAGGCTTGCAAAGTCGAACAGTAAGTAATATACATAAATATAGGTATATATAGAAATATATTATTTCACAAAAAAATAAGGAACATTAGACGTTCAAAATTGAACAATCTTCAAACTACTGTAACTCGCGAATAATTATCACCAACGAAGATAGACTAAATCTAGACCAAAAATCAAAAAAGCGTTTTAAAGCTTGAAGTTGGTATTTTTACATGTTTGAGGCCATTTTTTTATATTTTTATCTTACTTTTAGACTTAAAAAATAAGAACACATTGTTTTGTTTCTTAAAATTACGTATCTTCAATACTGCAATTTGATAACATTTTTTTCAAAATTTTATGACAAGAGGCAAAAACTACGATTCTTTATTTGCAAAACATGTGTTTACAAATGTTATTACGATTTTTTTGGTCGAATAACGTGACTTGAATAAATAAACTTGTATTCTTATGCTACTGCTGATAGTAAATGTTATCGTTCACAAAATATAAGGTTAGTTTCAATGTCGTGTAGTTCGGCCAAAAAAATTGTAGAAACATTTCTAAACACGTGGTCTACAGATAAAATGTACTTTTTGGAACTTATCATGAACTTTTCGAGAAAAAGTGTTGTAAACTGCAGAGTATTGAAAATACGTAATTTTAAGACAAAAACAATGGTTTTTTGGGTTCAGAATTGTGAGAGTAAAAAAGTTAAAAAAACTGTTACAAGTACGTGAAAGTGCAAATTTTAGCTTTAAAACGCTTTTTTGTTTTTTGTCCGTGATAATTTTTCGCCGAGTTTTTACGTTATTTGTAAAAAATGTAGATTTATTTTCAAAGTTGTGTAACTCGATAAAAAAAATCGCAGGAACATTTGTAAACATGCATTTTGCGAGTAAAGAATCATAGCTTTATCACTTGTCATAAAATTTGAAAAATTTTTATTATTAAATTGCAATATTGAATAAAAAATTTTTACAAAATGGCCTAAAGTATGTAAAAATAGACACTTTAAGTTTTAAAACGCTGTTTTTGATGTGCGATATTTTATGCTAAATTATAGCAGTTTGAAAATTGTTATTTTAGGCGTCTAAGAAGTGTTCCCTATTTTTTATGTAGTATATATGTAAAAGCGATTAAATTCAAAATTATAAAGTTTTATTATTTTCCTTATAAAAATTATTTTGTTTTTAGATATCCATTTACTACCGATCAAAAAGTAACAGAGCCGGATTGGCAAATATATATACGAAATACAGCTAGTATGATGGTTTCTGAACAATCTCCTAAAATACTTTTAGACATACGGAATAGATTTTATGATCTGTTAACGCGTGCTGTACCATGCGATCTAATATTTAGAGGATTGCTACAAGAATGCATAAAAAAATGTGATGATCAATTAAAAAAAGAAATTATCGGCACTGCGTCAGAGTATCAACATAGAATGATACGTGGCTCGAAACCTATTTTTCATTTAGAGGCTTTTGCTGCACGATTTATGGCTGTTTACAAAAAATATATTGAATCATCTTTAGAAAGTTTTATGTAAAATTTGTTCTTTAATGTTTTTTACATTTGTAATAAAATGATTATACTATATCAGTTACATTATAAGTTTTCAATATCTTTTAAACATTATCAGTATGAAGTAAAAATAATTAATTTTTAGATTTACCTCTTTATTTACCTCTTATTAATATAAGATTAATAATTTCTGTATCTTAAGCACAAATTATAATATTAATAATTTATTTCTAATTTTATAATCATGCTAAAGAAATTCATGTCATTGTTTAATTTTAAAATTGTTTTTTCCTTTTTTTTAATTAGGGCTAGTGTATTATTTGACATTTTTAATAACGAATATTTAGCAAAGTATGAATAAAAATTATATATGCAAAAACATTAATTTGAATAAATTATTTTATTCTAATAATAATGAATATAACACAGCAATACAATACTTGATGTAATCTGACAGCTAATTTAAAAAAAATGTTTTCCCTGAAGAACATATAATACACTTACATTGCTGCAAGTGCAAATGCGGAGATAACTGCTAGTGCAGATACTACATATCCAGTACTATACACTTCTTTAATTGTTAGAAAAAGTCCCATATCCCAAGCCTGGAAATTTATAAAAATATATATGATAATTATATATATATATAACTAAATTTATAAGTCAGTAAAGTTATAGCAATAATTTTTTCTGAATAATGACATAAATTAAATGTAATAATTATTAATTTGCGCTTCTTATCTCATTTACTTTCAAATATAATTATACTTATTACATAATAACTTCATACCAAATGACGTATTCCATTAAATGTATGATATGTAACAGGCAAAGCAAGTAAAGTCTTGCTAGCAAACAGTACAGGTAAAGGTAAACATAAATTATTCACAGTTTCTATGAAGCAGGGAATACCACCTGGTATAAATAATGTGCCTGAAACACAAAACATATTTAACTTAAACATACTTATTTCTGTTTCATATAACTCCACACACACGCACACACACATACAAAATTCTAATTTTTATTAAACTACATATTACATGATCAACTAAGCTAAGTAAATACGCATATTGAGTTTTACCTAAACCAAGAAACATCGCATAACTGGCTAGTATTATACCAGTAGTACGATGTGTTAATGAGAGCAATGATGTTAATTGAACTTGATAGATAGTTAAATGTGGTGACATCGGTCTTTTTAGACGTGTATTCTTCTCATCATGGGATTCACAATTTATTGTATGTGAAGGATTTGAAACTGTAGCACTGAGTGATCTGCAATATATATCTCATTGTGTTTTTATTTGCAGGTACAGCTAATAAAAAATTAATAAAGTAAAAAAATTTTTTGACATAAAAATTAAAGTTACATAAATATTAAAACTAAAATTACATAAGCACAGCATTAAAGTAACATAAATAAACAATGCGCTATAATTGATATACATAACTTATAATTGTAATCACTTTTGCGTAGAAACTTGTTGTAGAATAAAAACTATCAAAATTTATTTTCAATATGACAGTTATATAAATATAAGGTTATGTGTTATGTAAGCTCTTACCTGCAAGTGTATAGACACCGAAAATGTCGAAAATCGACATTACGCCGACATAGAAGTCTAAGGAACAAATATCGTTTTTGCTTTAGCTGAATAATTAAAGTCATAACAATTTAATTAGCTAAAAATAGTATTTTGGAACATACCTAGTATAGACCGCCATTTTTATAAATATCTTGTATTTCTGATGGATGATAAGTGTCACAGAGGTGTGTTAGCAAATATTCTATGTTACAGCAAGATTTTATAAATATAATTACAAGCAATCAGCAATGTATTCTCAAATCAAATGTATGGCACAAACAATTTAAGCCGACAATCTTATAACAGAAAATTATTGACTAAATTCAAGTCAAAGAGAATAGGATAGAGTGGAAGATCTCATAAGAGCGTAATGTATTTTTGCGTATATAGTCTTCAGTGCCCTCTCGTGAGTCTGATGTCTAACTTAATATTCCCTGCTTCTTGAGCGCTCACTGAACAGTTATAGTACTGAATAAATAAATTAATCTGTTTCTATAATTTAAGTCCGCGTTAGCAAGGCATAAATCTATATGTCAACATTAATATTATATTAATATAATTATTAGTAAAAAGAAAAATAATATAATATTGATATGAAATTATAAATTTTATTTTATGATAAACATACATATGGTGAAAACAAAATTTGTAGCAAGTACATATTTACACTAAGTATATAATAATAAGTTAATAAATTATCGTTAATAAGTTACCATTAATAATAAGTATATAATACAGTATAAAATACCAAATTATACATATACGATATATGATATATAAACGTAAAAAGTATTAACTAAATTTTTTCATCTTTGTGGAACTATTTTTATCTATTTTTGTTGTAATATTTCGTCTCATCCACGGACTAAGGAATAGAGGGACGGAGCACAAGCTGTACCGGGGGAGCACGTTTGCGGCGGGGGGGGCCGCTATATTCGTTTAGTAATCACCACACATAGAACTCACTATTTGCGTATGTGTGAGAAATGAAAGTCAGATCCTGCGCACAATAAACAAAATAGGAAATAGAAATAGGAATAATTATTAAATATTAGAAATAAGAAATTGAAATTATTTATTTAAAAAATAAAAAAATAGAAAAAATTAATGCATGAATTAAGAAATAAGAATTGGAACTAATTAATATATTTTATTCTTTTGATAGATGTAAAATAATTTCTCTTTTTAAGAGGATGCTGAAGTGACGGGCAAACTCCGACGCGAAAGCGCCATCATTTCGATGGTACTAAAAATGAAATGACATTATCGGCGCAGCCTACGGACCTATGCCGCGTAGGTCCGTGTGTACGCATTTGTTTGTAGTGGTGATTCACTACACTGACGTGTGGTCTGTGTACGTGTGTCATCGGAAGTTTGTAAACAAACGATGCTTGCGCTTGTTTCCTCGACTGAAATTTCGTCGCAAGGCTGCAATATAATGTCCGAAAAAACATAAGCGTATACAAGGTGTCAAATAAATACAAACTAAATATGACAAAATAATAAATGAAAAATATACATATAATACTATATATATCATTGAAGAAAAATATCATATACTTTTCTTACTTTTATCCTTATGTAGTAAATACTAAATAACTAATTAATCAATTAATTAATATATACATATACACATATATTCAATAAATAGTTATCTTTATTTTGTATTTTATATGATAATGACTGAAATAATGTAAGTATATATCATTTCAGTTATATAAAATACAAAATAAAGATAACTATATTCAATATGTATATGTATGTATTCAATAATTAATTAACTTATTTATTTATTTTGTATTTATTCCATAAGAATAAAAATAGAAAAAGCATATAACATATTTTTCCAATTAGATATATAGTATTATACATACATTTTTCAAATAAAATATTTTGTAGTACACGTGCGTCGAAAGTAGCCTATTACGCGCATGCTTTACGTGCGGAAAGTAGCCAATTTCACACGCAACATATTACCGCACGCTTCAAACTTATTACCGCACACTTCCGGTTTATTACCGCACGCTTCCGCTTTATTACCGCACGCTTCACTTATTATTTCATTACAAAGCAACGCCATCTTGCAGCGCGATAGAAAATAAATAGCCATTACTTCTTCCCTGTCCCAAAGTCTAATCTCAATTGCGCCGAACACGCAGTGACACATGTAAGAAACTGGTAAGGTAAAAAGCGTCTTATCATTACACTTACCCCGCACTTATACTACAATAGGCTACTTTCGACGCACGTGTACTACAAAATAGCATATGTATCAAGTGCGGGATGGCAATTGCCAACTCGTGGGTAGGGAGGGAATGGTCGCACTCGCCTTCGGCTCGTGCGACCATTCTCCCCTCC